AAAGTGTCTGCCAGCATCTCCTGGTGCCTGCTGAGGAGCCTTTCTGGAGGGAATATTGTGTATATTCACGTGTCCCATACCAGAACTATGGATGCTTAGTTAGTGGGTCTTACAGTGAGCTGTCTGAGGTGCAGATTGCTTACAGTTGTGACCATTTATTGTTGGAGTATTACTGCCTGCTTAGGATGAATGGTAGGATTTCCAAGTGGTGTCTGTAGAGGAGACAGGAAGATTTGGGTCTCCATGTACCCTTAGCATTCCCTTTTTCTTCTGTGGGATCCCTCAACAGTGGCTGAGCCCATTATCGCAACCCTTTACATCCTGTTACCTGTCTTCTTGTCTTCCTAATGGTTCTCTTTTCCACCCTGTCCAGCTGGTGGAGTTGGAGGAGTTTGTGGCTGCTGTGAAGGAGAATGCGGAGGCTGTGGAGGAACGGCAGGAGACTGACTCCATTCCTCTGGTTGATGACATCCGCTTCCACATCACCAGCAATGTGCAGACTTACAGTGCCATCGAGGAAGCCAACCAGAAACTTGAAGCTTTGGAAAACCTCCTGGCCAGCATAGGGCTTGAGTGCTGATGAGTGCAAACCCTGGCTGTCATATGCAGCCTGCCTAGCCCCCAGTGGGTTGGCTTGGAGTGCAAGAACATCTGTCTCTCTGAATGTCTCTCTTCCCCTCCTTTGTCCTCCTTCCCATCCACTTTCAGGCATGGTTTCTTTTTAATTTATTTATGTCTGGACAGTTGTGTGTCTGGTTTGTGTTTGGTTTTATTTTATTTTTTGTTTATCCTTTCAGAAGTAGCTCCCGAAGCTCAGTCCAAATCCGTAGCTGCTGCTTTGTACAATACAGTGCAGATAGGAGACTGCAAGCTGTTAGGGGTGGTAAGGAAGCTGTTCTGGGGGACTTGCTACTGCTGGGTGTTAGGACCCATCCTGTTCTGTTGCCCAACAACACACCTCTGAAATTGGTTCATGCCAGGATATTTGTTGAATTGCCACCAGCAGGGGAAGAAAACTGGATTAAACTGTCCAAATAATATATTGGAAAGGAGGTGGCCTTTCTTTCACTGTCAGCATTATAAGATTGGCAAAGGTGGGCAGTGCTTCCCTAACAGGGGCACAGGAGTACTTGGCTATGTGGAAGGCACTGTCTTCACCTGCTATTCTAGTTCTTAGATGAAAAAAACCAAAGTGATTTCCAGGTCTTCCCTAGCTTTTCATTGCTTTGAAGTGCTCAGAATTTAAAAGCTTTGCTTTCTGAACAAACATCTTCGGGAACACAATAGAGACCCAGAGTCCTTCCGTTCTTAGAAAGCAGTAGCTTTCAACGCATAGAAAAGGGAGAGCACCCCTTTTCTTCGTAACAGGAAGGAAACACCTTCTTGGAAACAACACTTCTCCCTTTCTTTTTGTCCATTGTGGTAGAGCAAAACTGACTTGCTTGGTGGGTTAGGGAAGAGGGGTCACCGGAAGTCTTTTTTAAAAGGAAAAAGGGCCTTTTGGGTCTATTGCAGGGCAGCTGTCCCACTTCTCGACCTTCTGGCTTTGCTCAGCCTTGAGCCTTGTAGCTTCATTGTTCTCCAGGAAATTCACTGTTTGTACTAATGAATGTTTTTGAATCTGTGTTCTGCAGTAGGTCGTGTTATCTCGTGTTGTCTCCCTAGATTCCTAATGAGGGTAATGATGTTCCTTCTCCTTGGCACCAATCAGCAGGCGATACCCCTGCATAAAGCTTGCCTTGCCAAATAGGCTGCCCTCAGAGCTGTTCACCTCCAGAAAGGCATGTTATGAGAGTCTCGGGTCCCCAAGGCACAGGCCGGGCATACTTTGCCGTGCTGTGAGTTGGGAGGGAGAAGAGGCGTTGTGTGAAGTGCACAAGAGAATCTTGCACAGGCAGTGGGCTGCCATTACTAATGCATGTTGTCATTTTGGTCACTTTGTGAGGCAAGAGCTTGAAATAATCCATGTCAGGTGTGCTTTTAGTGTTTGAGGTGGGAACTGGACACGGATCCCCTGCAGCTTCAAGGTGTTGTTTTCTGTAATGGTGGTGATACTTCACATGGATAAGGAGAGGGTTTGGAGGTCCAGC